ACAAATAATTGGGGGCCAGGCAGGAGTTCTTATGCAGAAAATAAAATTAAATAGAAGAAAAATATGCTAAAAATCTTACTAGAAATGATACAATAGTTTGTAATAAATTCAGGCTTCATGTTATAAAAAGCATGAGCATATGAGCTTCTAATCTTTATCCCATCAACTTGCAAATCCAGCTGTCTAGTTACATTAACAACCTGCTGTGTCCCCCTTGGTTGCTTGAAACTATAGGGTTGTATCCAATGAGGAAAGCCAGTCAAGATTTGTGCGCCTTTTCCACATCAGTTCAAAATAACAAATTGTGAAGATGTTTGTGATGGTCTGGGATATTATATAATTTATATTTATACCCATACAGTGAAGAAGTAAAATATGCTTTGGAAAATACAATATTATCTGTGATCATGGCATTAATTGGACTGGATGTGAACTTAATATTTATATAGTGACAAGTTTATCTGAATTATTTTCCATGAGATGGGAGATCATTATTACAAAAATCTGATCAAACAATGGAATTGGGTGATATAGGAAAACTGTTTAAAGATTTGTTGGCAGTAATTAAAGTACTATGCTTCAGAAAATATGGTAAGTGTGTGGGCTTGTGATATAATAGGCATACCCTCTTCTCATTTGGATAACTATTAAATTATAAAATGTATAATTTAGTTTGTATATTTTATTATAAGTACTTAATATAAATTAAAATATTTGCAAATAAATTTATATTAACTAAGCTACTGTATATAGAAGGATCCGTACTCAAGATTAGTCCACTGTATCAATTTAACCAAGCTCTAAAGATATGCCACTGACGTTTATGCAGGAAAATGGACTTAATGAAAGGACTCATTTACCATTCATACCTTAGATCTAAATCTCAATACTAAGTCAAATTCCCATATATGATGTCATTTTTTCAATAAATTACCCTGGAAGCAAAAATAATATGCATTTTTTGTATTCATATATCATGTATATGGGTGGTGTCATGTTCTCATAAGTAGACATTTAGCTTAAGAATAGTGCTTATAGCATTCTTTTTACCAGTTTTTAAGCAGTTAATAAATTTTCAAATTTACATGTAGGTCACTCAGAGTCATTTCCATATAAGTAGAGCAAACAAAAGAAGCAGTTATTAAGCAGTTTTTAAGCAGTTCTCCTTAACCTTCCTATTGACTGCTAAGATACTGCTAAGGAAACTGCTAAGCAACTGCTAAGTTACTGCTAATGAACTGGCTAAGTACTGCTTAAACTGTGGACTGCTAAGGAAAACTGCCTACGGAGAGAAGAAGGCTAGTAAACGGACTAAGAACTGCTCAAGCACTGAACTGTTAAGGTTAAAAAACTGCTTAAGAACTGCTTTCCACTTTGACTTGGGTGAATTGTTTATTGACGAAATGCTTTGAAATTTAAAACATAGTCATGCATTAGGAAATCCTAAAATATGATATATCATGAAATCATGTGCATGCACATGTGCTGCAATCTGATTGGCTGAAACTTTATATGGCTTTATATCTCCTTTGTTTTTTGACGAAATGTTTGGAATTTTAAAATATAGTCATTCATTTAGATATCCTTCAATACGATAAAGATAAAAATTTATGAAATCACGCGCATGCATGTGTGCTGCAATCTGATTGGCTTAAACTTTAAATAGCTATAACTCCCGTGGTTTTCAACCAAACAGAATGGGATTTGGAACATAGATAGATATATTAAACCTCTACAAGAAAATATGGTCATCATGCACATGAATACTCGTGCGTGTATGTGCGCTGTAATTCGATTGGCTGAAACTTTAAAAAGCTATAACTCCCATGTTTTTCAACCAAACAGGGTGCCATTTAGAACATAGAAGGATGTATAATAGACTTCTACAAGAAGATATGGTCACCATACTCATGTATGCACGTGCACGCACGTGAAATGAGTTAAATCAAAAATACACTTGAATGAGCGTATTTTTAAATACTTTTGGATTAAATACTATAATATTTAGTATATTAAAATGTATAGATTGTGTAGACAAGATGATATGGTCATTACACGCATGCATTCACATGTGCACGCGTGCAATGCTAAAATTTGAATGAACTTGGCGTTGTTAAAGTATCAAATGCATAGATTTTGTCCTATTTAATGAAACTTACAGGGAATATGGCACCAAAGGGTCTAAGTTGGGGAGCGTTTGGGGAACATCGATCTGTAACGATCCCCGTTACAATTAGCACTAGATATGAATAATATGCATTATGGTGTGAATTCATTAAAATCAAAACAAGAATTTAGATATGATACTTACAGAGTTATGATTCATCAGTGGAAATCTTTTCCCCATCAACAAGGGGATAATCTAGGTTGATCAGCCAACAGCATACTTGGAATATCTTTGTAATGAAGTTGACCATTGTTAGGGGGATTACTCCTTCTAAAACGTGAAAGTTCTTCACACGCCCAATGCTTCTTTCAACATGGATCCGTAGTTGAGCAATCTCCTGGGTCTTGAAGACTTCGATCATCAGTCGAAAACTGGTTAGAAGTGCCTAGAATACAATATCAAGAATTTTTTTTAAGCTAGTTACCATGCAATGTTTTCCTGATTTATCTAAAAAAAAAAATATAAACAAAAAACAAACAAATATATGCTGAGTTGATCAACTGGGAGGGGGTGATTAAAATAAGATATGGGATTAGGGTAAATCTAAGATTTCATTTACAACTTAGCGCTCTATTTAATACCTCGGAATGGTGGAATGTTTAAGGAACATTGTCTTTTTTCAAGTAAGTCAGCTATGGTGAATCCTTTGTCTGCCATTTAACTGTCATTTGGCTTAAGAAGCGGAAGTAGGCCACATTCCTCAGTTAGCTGACGGTCTGAAGTTTTTCCTGGCCATGCATCAGAAACAAAAGTGATTACTCCAGATGGACTTATACCGACTCGGAATTTAACAGTGGTATGATGCTTGTAGTTAGAAAATGTAAGGCTTTGGTTTATAAGGCTACTTGGTGATTGAATGAAGAGTTCTGTACAGTCAATAATCACTCTGGTTGATGGATACATAGAGTCCAACTTTCAACCTCATAAGGACTGCAAATAATTGATCAATTGGATGTAAGCAAGATGATGATATTCTCACTCTGTCTGTAGTTGACGTCTGTCCCTCCCCTCTCCAATATGTCATCCGTGAACATTTACTTGAAAGGTAACTTTAACCAGTGAAATTGCAGAATTAACATTCAAATTCTCACATCTGCAAAGCTAACTTAAATTATTGGAATATTTAAAATCCAAAAATTTAAGCAGTCAATTACAACTGAAATATAATTTAATTGTTGCATAAAAAAATAGTACACTACCTCTGAAAAAAGGTGAATCAGTTTTTGATCCATGAAAGTAATTATGTTCAATGTTTATTATATTCCTAACTTGTATAAAGATTCATATGTGAAAATAATATTAGTTGAGAAAAAGATGTCAAAACTTACTTGTACAGCCACAAGAAGATTGTAAACGAAGGTAGACCAGTGTAAAAACGTGTCATGCCATCATCATCTTTAATGCGCTCAGCAGACCAGTTGTGTTTTCGTAGGTCCTCTCGGAGTCTTCTTTAAGTCTCTTTAAGGTTCCTGTTTTCTTGCAGGAGGGGGTCATCTTCACACTGTACACCTTTAAATGTTTCATATCATCAATAATTCAATTATAGCAAGAAGAATGAAAAAAAAATGTACATTTTTCAAAATTAATTTACTGAAAATTTTATATTGATACTGAAATTGACATACTGGTACGTATCTTGATAAAGATGTATATTGCAAATAAAATCTACTGTAACAGTTTACACAGGCAAAAGTGGTTCGCATGAACTTCATATGAAATTTGCATGAATATCGTGCAAATTCTTCGCATGAAAAGGAGACGAAAAGAACCACACATGATATTCGCATGAAAATATCATTCGATTTTGACATGAAATTCGCACGAATATCATGTGAATAAAAATTTGCATGAAATTCTTATGAATATTTTTGCTGCTTTCTTTACAGATTTTCATATGAATTTCATGCGAATTTCATGTAAATATCATGATAAATTCATATCAAATCCATGTGATGTAATTTATATATTTTTCCTAGTATATTGGACTTTCAATTCTTTTAATCCATTTGATGGAAAGTATTAGGAAATTCTAATACTTAGATCTGTATATGAATTTGTACAACTAATCATCAACGTTTCACTGTTACTGTATTCAAAAAAATGCAATAAGTACAATCTCAAAACCTGATCCAGCAAATGACTTAATGAGCTTTATCTAAGTCTTTGAAACTGCTTAAATTTAACACATGCAGATTTTGAGGAAGCACCACTATGATTATCCAAGTTATTCTTTTGATGAACAAACAACTGGAAACATTCTGTTTCTTAATCTTCTTTATTGAATGCTTCAATTCTTTTTAACATTCTCTGCTCAAGGGCCACCCATCTGTCTGGAGATTGTTTCATCTGCAAGAGAAAATATTGTAATGAATACTGGGTACCGGTAAATGAAATACAGTCATGAATTTTTTACAACTGCATTTCCAAAGTCAATATTTCCCTACTAATATCAAGATAACATAAAATATGAACAAAAGTATAGATATAGCAATCTCATATCACCCCTAAGTTCAATTTGGTAAAAGGTTGAATTTATATTGCCTACATTGTAAATAATCTTTAAAAAATTAAAAAACATACATCATAAATTATAATGATTTCAAAATCATACATCATAAATCATAATTAAAAGTATAATTATAATGTTTCTTAAGTATAAAATTATTGACAAAAAATGAAAATAATTTTCCTGCAAATGACTTTAAACTTAAAAACAATCTTGTGTCAGGTATCAATTAAACCTTGAGATAATTGTCTCTGTTTCATTGACCTATATCTGATGATGCAATTTGTATCTGTTGCAAGGGAATTTCAAAGCAAAATTTACCTACCATTGCATCATTCTATGTTCCTTCTGAACACACGCCAGAAATCTGTGGCTGTGGTAGCTGGATTTTTTCCTGAACAATTTGAGTCCATCAGCGAAAGATCTCTGTAAATCAAAGAATAGAAATAAATCTAAAAATATTATTAGGACTAGTCATGAATTTTATATCTTCAAAGTTCAACTTTTTAAAGGAACAAGCTTGAATCTGTTTTACTATTTAAACCGTCATGGAAATATTATGCACTAATTTTGCCTCTGTTATCAAAGATTGATGGATTTATATTGTTTTTGTGCTGTAATGTCAATTTTTCTGTCTTAATATGTTCCTTTAAACACAATACTTATGAGTGGGTTAGGGGCTATGGCTTCATATTTCACAGGTGTATTTCATGTAACAAGAACTTTATCGGGGTACTATAAAATTTGACCTCTTGACCTTGATATTAGGGTTTGATCCACTTTTACAAAAAAAATCCCTAAACTTTAACCTAGACTAATAATTTTGAACAGTTAGTGCTATCAATCTGATACTTAACATTATTTTGTAATCATTGTGACAAGACCATTCAATAAGTTTTTTAACCTTAAAATTGGTCTTGACCTAAGAGTTTGACCCACTTTTAAAAAATATAATCTAGGCCATAACTTTTTAACAGTTAATACTAAAATTCTCATATTTCACTGGTTCAAGTAAACGAATTACTTATTTTAAGTAATTTTTAAGTAAAAAAGTTTGTCACCATAGCAATCATGATAAGTAATTTATAATATTTATTAGTAATATTATGTAATATTATATTGTAGTTATAGATAAGAAACAGTGACGAGTAAATAATTTACTTAAAATAAGTAAATAAAAAGAATTACTTAGTATTTGAATAAACAGCTTTTTGGGTTATTCCGAACTGGTCTTGAGTTGACATTTAAAATATGTAAGTAAACAAATTATTTATCTTGTATTTAATTTAATTGATACTCCTCTGATAAAGAGAATCTGACATATGGTATTGTTTGACGTACAGTCAGATAAATCAGAATTTTGATAACAAGGACCTTTCTATAGTTATCTTATTATATTCAATATTACCGTAAAGATGTTGATGTCTAGTTTCAATTCCTTATATTTTCATTAATTATTTTTAATAGTTTACCTAAAACATTTATACTAGGTCACTTTAAAGGATGTAAGTTGGGATATTTATATCTCTTAACGAATAAGACATTTAATTGTAACAAAAATTTCAGACGCAGAACTGTTTAGAAACATTTGATTAATATTTTGTTTTATTAAAAAATATTTTCAAGGGCGATAATGGAAATCCAAGTAAATTATTTTACTTAAAATTACTTAAATTAAATTTTTGAATGAATTCTAATATACTTTAAGTAATTAATTTACTTACAATAAGGAATCTTAAGTAATTCGTGAATTACTTAGAAATCCTTAGTAATACTCAATCATAGTCAGTAATCAACAATTATCTTAAGTAATCAGATTACTTAAAATAAGTAAAATAAAATTACTAAGCAATTTTTTATTTTGAGTGTAGGCATATATAAAGGCGTAAACATAGGATAAAATAATATATGTATGCATAAGTGTATTAATGCTGAGTACCTAGGAGCAGAAAAAGATGACTGTCAAAGAATTACTGCATTTTTTATATGTCTTCTATAACATCAGAACCTATTACTGGGTACCCAGGGGCAAAGTAATGTACAATTTTGGAAATGAAACTCTTTAATACTCATTATAAGTATATACTTTAAATGTACTTAGTTTGTTTGCATTCTATCAAGAAGCAATTTTACCATGCAAAATTTGGTTGATAATGGTTCAGTCGGTAATGGATAATTTGTTACTGATGGGACACACAACAACTGATGAAAAGAGAAGCAATAGGTCTAAAAACAAATAACAATAAATTGACACTTGCATCCCTCAAGTGTCCATATTAATGAAATTAAATTTCAATCCTTACCAATGCATAAGAGTCACCTTGAAGTTGGTCTTCTCCTCTGAATCGGTCATTCGAATGGTGATAACCAGAAATTGCCGAGAAGTCAGGTATACCCCTGCAGTCGAGCCTTTATTTGCATTTACTCCACATTCTTCTCTTGTGTCACTAGCTGAAATGTATCATATTATTGAGAATCTCACTAATTTAAGAATTTTTTATAAGCTGGTATTTTTACAATTGTACTTTTTTTTTTAAATGCATTTAAAGTTTCAATCAACAATGCATGAAATCAAAATGAAAAATTTTAAAACAAATTTTGACCAAAAACAGGATATGTTTGTGAAACACTGATACTCCCGTATGACAACATAGCAAAGATTAAATTTTTCTCAAATGCAAATTTAATTAATAGGTACCAAAAGTAGGATATTCTCACTGGAAAGCAATTGTGAAATTTGAAAGCAGGCCATTATTAAAGTTTTTTTTCAATAAGTACAAAAATCTCCAAGGTCAAGTCCTAAAGGCTAAGTTACTAATTGGTATCCAATGAAGGGTCTTGCCACATAGAATTACTTATGTAGAGTATGGAAGCCCTAGCCCTTACCTTTCAGAAGTTATGGCCAAAGTTAATTTTCTTTTAAAAGTAGGTCAAACTCCATGGTCAAGGTCAAAGGGTCAAAGTTCTTGTTATCAAATAAAAGGTCTTGTCACAAGAATTAAATATGTAAAATATGAAAGCACTAGCCCTAACCCTTTGAAAGTTATGGTCAAAGCTTGTTTTTTAAAGTAGGTCAAAGGTCAAGGTCAAAGGATCAAAGTACTTGGTATCCAATGAAGGGTCTTCTCACAAGGATAACATATGTGAAGTATGAAAAGCCATATCCCTTACCGTTCAAAAGTTATGACCAAGGTTCAAGTTTTGCACAGGTACAGAAATCTACAAGGTCAAAGGGTCAAGGTTGTTGGTATCCAGTGAAAGGTCTTTCAATAAAAAATACACATGTGAAGTTTAAATATCCTGGTGTCTATACTGTTCAAAAGATATGGCCAAAGTAAAAGTGTAAAATTATCATGTAAAAGTGAGTCAAACTCCAAGGTCACGAGGTCAAATTTGGTAGTATCCAAAGAAAGGTCTTGTCACAAGGAATACACATGTGAAATATGAAAGTCATGGCTCCAATAAGTCAAAAGTTATGGGCAAGGTTAAAGTTTTTGAGGACAAACAGACAGACAGAGAGACAGACAGACAGACAGACGGACACGAGAAAAACTATATACCCCGAAGCTTTGTTTACAGGGGCATAAAAAGGGCTAACTTTAGCTTCTGGCTTAGATGAGAAAAATTCAATGAAATATTCCCAGCTTAGTCATAATTGGTCACAAGATTAAATTCTATAAAGCCGGAAGGTTTTCTATGTAAAACTTTGATTGGCCATTCTAGACCCGTCCTTCCCCTGGGGGTCATGATTTGAATAAAATTGAATCTACACTACCTGAGGATGCTTCTCTGTAAGATTCATCTTTCCTGGCACAGTGGTTCTTGAGAAGAAGATTTTTAAATCATACCATCAAATTTTCATTTGAACTAACTTGAATCCCATTCACCTAAAGATACTTTGTGCCAAGTGTGGTTGAATTTGGCCCACTGGTTCTTGAGAAGAAGTCGAAAGTCTGAAAAGTTAATGACAACGACGACAGACAGACAATGGACAAACTTTGATCAGAAAAGCTCACTTGAGCCTTCGGCTCAGCCTGTACGAAATGTTCCGCCCGGAATGTAGGGGGAATAGAGGCGTACTTGGAGAGGGAATTCCGGACGTCAGTTTGTTTCTCTCTATATAAGGTGTTACACAGAGGCTCCGGGCGTAAACCAAGCGGAAGCCAAGCGGAAACTGGCAGGAATTTTGAGGCGGAATATGCAAATGAGTTACGCCTGGAAAAATAAATGACACCCGGAAAAAGATTCCGCCTGGAAACTAAAATGACCCCTGTATCAAAATTCCGCCTAGAATTATATAATACTTTGTGACCTAAAAACCTATATATTAGCCATATTAACCAAGAAAACATTTAGGTTATGATGTACCTTGTTAAAGCTAAAATTTTAGCTTTTTGAACTGCAAGAAAATGTAATGACAAGGCATTTACATAGTATAGAAATATAATCTATAAGACTTTTTTTGTGTAAAGAACTCCATCATGATCGAATATCTAAGGATTATACACAAACTTTTTACAATACCCGTACATTTTACCACTTCAATATAATCATGATCTTGAAACAAGTTACTTAAATTAATACAGTTGTACATTATTACTCAGTACTTTACAGTTGGAGACTGCCTCTATCTGTTATTTATCTCAGAATGTGTGCAAGGAAACTCAAATATCTAAAGTAATTTTAGGGTTAACATGTTATATAACTATAATTATACATAATCTTAATCAAATTTACCCAAATATGTACCAGCTATTAATAATCACACCTACCAGCAGATACTGTGTCATCCAGAAGAAGTGTAAAAGCCTCAACATTGAAATATCTGCATTTCCTATTTCACTCACACTTAAAACTCCCTCCCTTCTTGATCAAATTCAAACTTAACTTCCTATCTGAAATGACCCTTCATTGATAATTAAAATTGACCAATCAGAGGCTTTTACTTATCCTGAAAGTTCCAGGCGTAAGTTTGGTTTTTGTTTTCCTGCCATTTTACGCCTGGAAAATCTGAACTTGCAAACTGACACCCGGATATTAGAAATTACGCCTGGAAAACATCTCTTCTACTGAGGCGTAACTTTTCGAAAACTCCGTCTCCTGCTCAAGTACGCCCAGAATTTGCAAACTCCTGCTCAATTCCGCCAATATTCCACCCAAATTCCAGGCGGAATCCGCCTTTCAAATTCGTACAGGTGGTGAGCTAACAAAAAATACTATAAAATACTTACATGTACTTTTGACAAATTGGGAAAATTTAGGAGTTAGGACTACTCTGGTACTTGAAATCTGATCCTTGTGATGACAAGTAACTGTGCCTATACAGAGAAACTAAAAAATGTCAGGTACTGTATAGGTTCAATAACATTTAGTTCATTAATTCTTTGTCACTTTATTTAAATTAAAAACATGTATTCTATAAATTAATGAAGATTATATACATGTTTTTACATTAAAGAAATGCAAGATAAGCAAATATAAGCTGAATGGTTAAGGTTTTGCTACATGTATACATGTAATAACAAAATTGTTATACACGTAATAACAAAATTGTTATTGATTGTTATACACCTAATAACAAACAATGTATACCACAGGCTCTGCAAAAATGTTTCTCTCTTAGATTTTTTTCTTACCTGCTTACATGTATCATATTTATAATCTTTGAGAAGCTATCAGTGTGGTATAATGGAGTGCCGTGCATAGATCTGCTTATAACCAGCAAATTATACCTGTGAGTATAGAATACAACATTTCATAAATATTTTCGAATTAATAAATATCTTGTAAATATATGTACAGTACGACTCATTTTAGGGGAGTGACTAGGACTTTCTGTCTTGCATTCCAGATGTAAGTAAGCCTCTTTATATCTGCATGCATACATTTTGGAATGCACATGCACAGGTACTTGTGGACAGGACAGTGGGGTATTTTTTTTTTGTTGAGAGGTGGAATCATTTTTTCCAAAGGGGGGGGGGGTATTATAATATACATTTACTTGCATGTAGTTAAATAACTCAATAGGATACCAGGTGGGGTATGGTTTTCAAAGGAGGAGGTTGATATAAAACTAGGAAAAAATATTTGTATGGATTACCAGACTGAAAAGTTTTTGAAAAAGAAAGGAAAATATTGATCTCAGAACCTGAGAATCCTATCCTACAACATTAGCTTTTCACTGAACATTTTCTTTGGTAATAACACAAAGAAACAAAAATTTGGAACTTAATTCTTTTTTTTTTCAAATCCAAAAGGGAGGGTTGCAATTTACCACCGTAGTTATAATAATCTTAAGCCCTCACCGGGTACGTAGGACATTAATTTTTATCATTTTAATGATAGAACATCAACATTCTATCTACACCCCCCCCGAAAGCTACGTGTGTTATTTGATTGCTGCAGTTTAATTTTATATACTAGATCCCAACGCAACAGGAATTAAAAACACATTAAAACATTAGGCCTATCAATAGGCCAATAATATTGTAAGAAAAGCAGTGAACCTTTACTAGGCCCATCTTTCATTTTCAACACATAACGTTATGCGTTACCATAGATAATCCCGTACGAAACAGTCCGGGCGGCTTAGACACGGCACATGCAGGCACGGATTCCGTCTCCTGAAACCCGTGCTTTACTCCTATGTAGAGCATTTATGGAAAGCCGTGCCTAAAAGTGGTCGAGGCACAGACACGGCACGGGATATTGGCCGAATTATTTAAATGAGATCACACGGTTTTACAAAACCTGTGTCAGAAAGCCGTGCTTGTTTCCATATATGGACTCACGGATTCTGTAAACCCGTGTCTGAAACCCATGTCCTTTTCCATATATGGAGACCCGTGTCAAAAAAGCCGTGCCTTATACCATATAAGGAGTCACGGGATCTGTGCATTTGTCTAGATCTAGGTCATGGCCTTTAGAGAAAGTCCTGATGTAACTGTGAATGCCAAAATAGTGACTGAAACCAGCGCAAACTAACTTCATATTGCTTTACATTTAATATGCTAAGTTTTAGAATTTCAAAATCTTATATGAATGTGTACATTTACTTTCTGTTAAAGATTAACTTTATCAGTTAAAATTCATGCTAGTTTTTAATTAAGATTTTAATGATAATGTACAATATTCAATTCAATTGTAATTTAATCTAGTAGCAGTATAAGTAATTTGCACAATCTGAGAAAGAATTTACCGGTAGTATAAATAAAACTTTCACTCTAAAGCGCGCACAGTGATGTCACAATGTAGTGAAAGTCCAACTAAAGTCATTCAAATAAGCCACAGGCGCTTGACGTTTTTAACCTTTCTCTTTATAAATAAAAAAAAATCCCTACTATTACCGGTAGTATAAATAAAACTTTCACTCTATAGCGCGCACAGTGATGTCACATTAGTGAAAGTCCTACTAAAGTCATTCAAATAAGCCACAGGCGCTTGACGTTTTTAACCTTTCTCTTTATAAATAAAAAAAATCCCTACTAAAATATTATAGTAGGGATTTTTTTTATTTATAAAGAGAAAGGTTAAAAACGTCAAGCGCCTGTGAAATAAGCCTTAACTATTTCATCGTGTTCATTGTCAACATTGCAGTACAAGAAGATCATGAAAATTGAAAAATTGACTAATTTATAGATTACACTTACTGCATTTAGTTGAAAAGTGAAGAAATTATCCCAGACTGACATAAATACAATTCCAACTGACATCTATTGGTTAAATTTCCTTTAAAAAGAGCAAAAAAACACACTGACTTAGCTCATGACCAAGAATCCCTCCAATTTAATATTCAAATAAAGGAAGTAATGATTGAGCATGCTCAGTAAAAAGCCGTGAGATGTACATAAATAGTTTGAAGCAAAACCTGCCTCAGTTAAAAACCGTCTCCCTGGGACACGGAGTCCGTGTCTCCTCACGGGTTTCTGTGAGTGAGGATTCCTCACTTTCAGACACGGAAGCCGTGTCCGTGTCTTGGACATGCAGAACCCGTGCGGCTTTTTAAAAACCCGTGCGGATTCCGTGTCTTAGCCGTGCCCAAGCCGTGCCTATTCCGCCTCAAACTTTCGTACGGGATGTAAGATCCACTTGAATCTCATATCTGTTATTAAGCTGTCAACAAATATTCCCAAATAAAGTTATAACATCCGTCTGATATAAAAAGAAGATGAGAATCTTACAAACTTACAGAAAATATGGAGTTGAAAACATTCTGCTCTTTCTTTCTTTCAGATTCTTTCTGCTTTCTAAGTCGCATGATGACGTAATTTGTGACGTACAGCATTCCATAAAAGAACTAGCTTTGGTTCCATAAAGTAAATTTTTATCACTTAGTCATCTGCGTTCGTCTTTGAAGTTGCGATGCATTTTTAAGATAAAAATTTGAACGACTAATATTACAAAGATTAAGGTATTTCCCGATTCTTGGATGAATACGAAACCGATTAGCCAGGATCTACTTGCACTTCCTGTTACAGAAAAAACAATCCGAGTCAGCATATAGGGAAAAGAGTACCAATTAATTTCCCATAGAACTCTATACAAACCTTATTCCCTCCAAGTAATTTACTAGTTCCCGTTCAAACAAATCTCTGGTATCATTTGAAAGTTCGTTCTAAGCACTTATTAAAAACACGGAAAAAAATATACCGTGCCGTGGCGTTTATAGGTCAAATTTACAGTTATTTAGAACTTACAGAGATCGGCAGTAAATGACACACTGCCAAAAATATCAACCCCCACTCCTACAATCTCCCCTGGTATTTCTAGAATTTTTGTAATATTCCCACATTCCATCATTTATTTCAAACATTAATATTTTTACTTTAAAATGAAAATATTTACATACCTGAATTCAGCCAATCAGGTAAAGCCTACCAATTCATTACTCTGCTTCATCTTGTTCAACCAGGAAATGATGTCAAAATCTGGGTCTTTGGTACTCTTTTTCCTATACTTACATTTTTACCTATCCCAGAATCAGTCAATTTTGTAATTTTCAAAGACCTTATACTTACCAATATACATGTATGAAATTTGAGGCCTGTCACTTCAGTGTCTTGGAATCTGTGACCATCTTAATGAATGACCCCTCCCTGCTGCAGGCACTTGGTCCAAAGAGTGAAAAACTTTCATTCCTGTGATGAAATCTGGATACAGCTGTCACTGTAATGAATAAAATATTTATAAAATAACATGATTTTGTTTTTTGATGTTAATAAAATGATATAAAGTCATAATTGTGTCACTTTTTTCATAGGGGTGGATTCTACCTAGAATAAGGAAAAAAAGTCCAAAATTTGATAAATCATAGCTAATTAATTAAGCAAAATTAAAAGGTTTTAAAAAGACTGATATAGAATATTTTTATGCTTATGCAAAGTAAATTGTTTGAGACTCTGATATACTAAATGATTCTTATCTAACCCCTCCTGTTGCTTAAGTATATATAAAAAAGTTTCCCCACCCCCCAGTGAAAGACACTTAGAGAAATAGCAGGTGCCCCCTATTAAATTTGTTTACATTTAATACAGACAAGAGAAAATTAATACTTTTGATAACAAATTAAAGTGCAGTATCTGATAGTCTTATACAGTACAACTAGAATCTACATAATTGAATTTCATGCTTTAAAAAGGGAAATTAAGATTAATTTGTAAAAAAATCAAGAAATGCAATAATTGACTTAAAACCCCAAAATGAACACCACAATAAGAGGCCGGAAAGTTAATAAATAGAAAATTTACCTGCAATGTACAGAAATCTGTCCAACAAAATATATCCGGTGGGTAGCAAGTCTCCATCTTCTTCTTATATGGAGAAAATGCCCCCGCTGATCAGATACCAAGCTCTCCCGGGTCCAAGGAAACTGAAAGATGAAAGTCCTGTATAGTGTTTAAATAAAAATGAATCAATAAAGTAAGTCAAATTAAGCATAAATCATAAAGAAAACAGCAATATTTTTCAAGTTTCCTGAAAAATTACCAAATAACATATCTTCTACATGGCTGAATGTTTAAAAAATTGATCCATCAAGGGTAGAATACAATTACATGTAAATATTGGAAAAGTCAAATGTGATTCATGCAGTAATGCCATTCCAATAATACAAGAAAAAAAAATCAGAAGCCTAAGGTTACAATAATTAAGATTTTATCATGTTAAAATTCTACATATTTGGTAAGCTAGTCTAAGGAAGTAACTGTAAGTACAAAAACTTGAAAGCAGTAGAAAATGAGTTACAGAGAGTCGCCCTGAGGAAACTACAAAGAGCAAAAAAAGGAAAAACACAGACCTTTGTGTAGCTACAACATAGAAACAACAAAGCTACAAACAGATCCCCCCGCAGTCCAAGGGAGGCAATCCAGAGGATAACATACACTGTACACTACCAACATGATACGTCAAGACATAAAATGTCCTCCTTTCAGATGAAAACCACGAAAGACACTTTTAAGGGCCGAATAAATTATTCGAAAAGATACCAAACGTGCAAACGTATAAGAAACTAAATAAAAATTAACACCAGGCCACCATCCAACACTTCCAAATGTACACATATATAGCAATTCATATAAATACACAATTACATGTACATGTAAAATACATACATAAATTTATGAATACATACAAACACCTAAAATTGATCAACCTGATACACAGGGGCTGACAATTAGATTTTTCAGGCACTTGCCCACGGGCAAGTGCATGGTCAAATTTCACTTGCCCTACTTCAATTTTTACTTGCCCCACCAACACTCTATATTCATCATGATCATTAATTTGTCTCCAAATTAAAAAAGATTTCAGCCTAGGATTGTTATTTTGAATATTGGCGACATTTAAAACCATCTGCCATTAAGAACTACGTACCATACAATCTGTTGAATGAATGTATGCTGTTTTACGTCCCGTTCCAGAATAATACATGTACTTTCTTTTATAAAGAGACGTAAATTGCTATCATATTTCAGCTATAGCCATGATATCTGCTATTTGTTTAAAATAAGTTTCGGGCCTTTTTTTTCTTCTTATCTCATACCTCGTATGCTTTGACAGTTTTGTACTGAGTTTTTCACTAACATTCTAGTATATTTACATTCAGTATAATTTTCCTTATCAAATCCATTAGAAATCCACGACGTTCAAATTTCTATAACACACGCGAAACCTTGTCACCGCGAGTTAGAATACACAGTAGGAACTATATGCATTTTCAATACTCTAGAAACATCAAAATGTAAAATATTTATTTCAATTTAATGAAAAACTACAACCCTGAAAAATTAACGCAGAAATCAACGAATTGTGCGTTAAGAATTAATTCGTCACTTTTTTAATCGCAATTTTTGTTTGCTTAATTTAACTTTGCAACGTCACTTAACGTCATCTGACGTCACAAACGGCTTTTACGTCTATTAACCACGTTAGTTTTGAAGGGCGCTAAATTCACATTAAATGTTGACGAAATAAGCAATTATGAAGAAGGAAAATTAGAGAATGTAAATATAACCATTGAATTCATATTTTTAGCTGTCTTCGGTCCTATAACACCCCTGGCCGTGCCCACAAATTATAATACCGCGCGTTAGCGCGGTATTATTCAATTTGTCGGCACGGCCAGGTGTGTTATAGGACCGAAGACAGCCAAAAATATGAATTCAATGCTTAAATGGACGATGTCGATCGTTTTCTGACTCATAACTGTCAAAACTTTCTTCATTGCCTATTAAAAATTCACTTGCCCACCTCCAAAATTCACTAGCCCCGGGCGTCGGGCAATGGGATTTGTCAGAGCCTGTGATACATTTTCTTAACTAACCTTTCTCCTCTGACCATGTCAACTACACATTGTTTTACCAATTTCCATCCTCTGCCCCCCCCCCCCCCCCCACACACACACACACACACCTCTACAAAAGACCCATGTAAGCCAATGACGAAAACTTGTCTGCGTTTTCAAAAGTTTATTAAAGAAATTAATAATTTTCTTCGTGATCGTATAGTTTTTTTGAATTAATCTGAAATATGTTCAGAATAGACCAATACACTTTTGATACAACTGTTCAAAGGATCCGTCCAATATAAAAAGAATTTAAGACTGAACTCCAAATATTAAATAAATAAAAGTCCAAAAGAATGATTCCCAGAATAATAAAAAGCCAAAGAAGTGTGATAGTTCGAGAACAAAACCGGGAATACTCTTTTCTGACTAAAACAGGGTATTTTGTGCTCAGTGGGTATCCATGGTCCCAGATATAACAAGAATAGATATGGGTTACCCCATATCCAAAGATATTCGACTGTTAGATTTAAAATGTTTAACAGTGTTTATAATGACGTTAATAAAAAAACTGCACTGTCTAATTATGGAACTGTTACATAAATTTCGTGATTCCATAGCATTACGGTCACCCAGTCTCCTAACAAACAGTACACATAGGCCTACATGTACCTGTGTCCGCAAGACCAATTTTAGCCTTGGTCTACACACGTGCAATGGAGCTGTCACACGCATCCACCGAGCTCGGAGAAACACGTTTTGTTTTGCCGAGAAGTTACGGCGTCAGACAAAACTTTTCTTTTCTTAATTAGATCATATAAAAAAGAATTCTGATTATAATAAAAATTATACAATCCCTGTTGAACTATATATAGTTTGTTCTAACATTTTCATCTGCAACAACTTGTGTTTAAAATGGCCGGGTAGGGAAAATCAGGCCCGGGTCGGAAAATTCTTAACTGAAAACATGGAAAACCTTTTTTGTTTTGAAAATAACGGAAAATTAATATACTAATGTATTTGTTGCAGAAATTACTTACATTATTCAAGTTCTATATATAATGGTAAATGCTGAACTTCAACACGAACCCGAATCTCCAACCCAGTTCTCGTTTTGCCACACATACCCTACAGTTAACAAAATGTACACGCGAGCAAGCCAGGGATTGAAAATAGATTAATTTTTTCTTTAAGAACAAATTGTATGATAATTAACGGGCTATAAACATGTACTTAATACAATTGTTGATATAGTATTATCAATTCATCGGTGAAAAGATATGAATCGAAGAATGACCTAATTATTCTCTGTTATCAAACATGTAAAAAAAAAAGGCTGAGGAGGGAGCGAGCGTAGGAATATTGATATTTTTTATTTGCATTTCGGGGGGAAAGTGATTTTCTAATGATATTTTGACATTATTTTTGATATCTTTAACGTATGACATACACAACTAAATACTCTTATCATGAACAATAATGTTGTATCTACTTATCATGATGGAATTATTTTGGTCGAACCAATATGTGTGAACT